GGATGAAATTTTGACAACTGCTAGAGATCTGGAATTGGAGGTGAACGAGGATGACATAGAAGAGCTCATAATGGGACATGTAGATTAACTGACGACAGAAGAACTCCAAGAAATTTTGAATGAAGAACACCAAGAAACACAGCGAAATGTGTCTCCTTCTGAACAAAAGGAAGACGAAAGAGGATACCAATGCCGACATCTGCCGTTAAAGATCTTTTGAAAAAGTGGGAGGATGTCAGAGCAATGGTCTTAGAATGGCACCCAAACTAAGCTGATGTCAGTAGGGTTGGGGATTTTTACAACGACAATGCTATTAATTACTTCCGGAAAATCCTGAAAGAGAGAGAAAAGCAATCGGCATTGGACATGTTCCTCAACGCCCCATAAGCAAACAATGAAAAAGACTGATTAATATGCAAGACTATATGGATGTATTATTTTTTTAAAAACTTAATAAGAAATTATGAATTTTTTTTAAATTTAATTTTTAGGGTCTCCAGAACGAATTAATCGATTTCACATAGAAGTCTATGGTGAATCGATGATCGATTAACGAACAATTCGGATAGCGTATATGGAATGAAGTAATTAAACTTACATTTTGTTTGTATCCCTTTTTAGGTTCACATAAAAATATTGACAGTTGAATTAAAGCGCTTTTCTGCACTTTACCAAATAAAAAATACAATGTCATAGCCAGGACAGGCCTAAACTTTTTTTTTCTACGCCAGGCACTGAGCTTACGTTCTTCTCCGAGGAAGATGCCGGAAGCATTGTTCATTTAACGTTACTCAGTTGGCACCTGTGAACCCACTGCCACAGATACTAGTTTTATAGGTTGGGCCACATTCACACAAAAGAGAACAACACACAAAGAGAAACATCTATGTCAAGAGCAGGATTCGAACCCACAACCATTGAGAGAGAGAGAGAGAGCAAAGTAGCGAAAAGCTCGCTTCCAACACAATTTGACAGTGATCTGCCGATTCAGTGAACTTGCCCACAGAGCATTTTGACAAACGGGAAAAATTAATGCTTCATCATTTTATACCAGTTATTTCTAATTGTAATACTGAATACGGATGTGCAATTACAAAGACGATGAAAGTTTTTTAAAAAAAATCCTGACAATGCTCTGAGCGCACATTTTATTTATAGCCGCTGTAAATTGCAGCAAACAAATAAATTTCACGGACGCCTTTTTAATGTTATTCAAATGAACTACTAGTTCTACAGATGAATAAACAGATACAAATTAAAACTTAATAAACATTTATTAATTCTAAAGCAATCTCAATTTAGTGATATTTTCAAAACCTAACTAATTCGAACACTAAATAATCAACACAAAACATTTCAAGAAGGTTGCCAACATAAAAACCAAAGTTAAAGAATAAAAATTAAATGAAAGCAGCAGCAGTCAGAGTCACGTGACACCAACTATAAAAACATATTACAATCTCTAACAGCCGCCATTGAATTGCCAAACAATTCTGAGTGAGCAATTCTGAATCAATGTTCAACTCCGTAGCCTTGTAATTTTGAACCCAATCCAGAAGACCAGAGAACTCATTAACCAATCATTGAACAAACTAGCCTTCGGAGAGAACTCTTTGATGGAACTAAGCAGCATTTGCGTTACATGGAGAGGAAAACCTCAAAACCTCTAACGGTTAGCTCTAAGGTAAGGGTATTCTAACTTATGATACGTTTACCACTGTGAGTATTTTACATCAGCACTTTGGTTGATGAGAGCTGGAAGTATAATTCGAATCGACCAGTCATCGTTGGGATTCGAGCCCTGGTCATCTCATTGGAAGACGAGCGTCTGAGCGCGCATTATCTTTGTAGTCATGCTAGCCGCTTCGTTGGCTTCTTCCTATC